CGTTAACGAAATGATTTACAATTTGAGAAACAAGAAGAAGTGATAGTTTCAGCCCTTAGTTCGGATCATCATTGGGCAGAAGATTCGAGCAGCCGGAAGGGCGACAACCGAAGGTTGTCACCAACTCCCTACCGGACATTGAAAGAACAAATTTCAGACGAAAACAGTTAATTTAGGACAGCTCTCAACACAATGCGAAGGCATCGACGATATTCGAAGGCAACGACACTCCTAAGGTTTTGGTTCAGACGCAACATCATCATTACCAATTGTAAAACCCTTCTCGACCACCAAGATCGGCAGCTGCTGAACTCAAAGGATTTTTCTGAAAGAAAAAGGAGAAATCGTTAATACAGTCCAGCAACACGTAATTCGAATATTCTCAGCATCAATGAGATTCTGACAGAACAGCCAACATTATTCCCAAATTGGAATCTAGACAAATCAGTACCACCTACCATATCAAAAACTTCCATAACATCATCATAATCCGAATTTGGAATAGCCATCAAGAGCCCTCAAAACGGATTTGGAAAGGATCGCAACATGTCGGAACATGTCTCTCCGAGAAAGGAAAAACCTTTAAGCGTCCCTCATTTTCGTTTCAAGAGACGGCTATAAGAAGAAGAAATGCAAGAGGCTCAAGGAGAATCCTCACGATCACCGAGAAAGAACACAAAAAACGTATACAAAAGTTCGCAGCAACTCGCAAACCCACGAAGACCTCAGAACCCCATCACCGGTCTTCGTCCAGAAAACTACCTGAGAAATCAAATAAGCCATCAGAAGAAATCATAATAACTTCACCATATAAAACCCGAAATCACCAAGAATCACAAACTCTGGTGACTTAGAGAACTCAAATCCGTCCTCATCATCGTCTCCAAACGAATTCCGCCACAAGAACCCAGATCACAAACCGATCGCGGATCATCAACAACCTTCAAAACACGCAAATCGTGAGATTTATCCTTCAACATGTTAACATTTTTTTGGGTGTTGTTTGATTTACACAGGAATCAAAAAGCGTGTGAAGAAAGTGAGACAGATGGAATCGCGAGAAGCGATACAGGAAAAAGTTCGAGATCGGAGCTAATGGAGAGGAGCAAGAAGGCCGATCGATAGAGAATAGAAGAAGGTGGAAGAATCGATTGAAGAAGGAGAGACGAATACGAATTGGGAAAAAGGGGATTTAGGGTTTCCACTTTTTTTTATTTTATCTTATCTGTTGTAATGCGTTAATCACCGCGCACACACACATCCACCACCACTAACCACCTACACCACTCACTAAACCACTCCCTAATCCGCCATTTAATCAACTAACCTTTCATTTCCTAATTAATTAGTTAATTAATCTTAATTAAGTCACCTAATCATTTGGTTTTCATAATGAAATAATTTAATAATCTTAATCTGCCCATTAACTTAACATAATTAACTCTTTTTTTATTTTATTTAAGCAATTTAAGCTAATTAAACCTTTTAACCTTTTTTTTATTAATCACTATTTGAACTTTATTTCATTTAAATAATTTGATAATCTTTTATTAAATAATGATATATTAGTAAAAAAACCATTTTTCAATTCACTTAACCAATACTTATTTATTAATAATAACAAAACTCTTTTAATAAATTTGTTAACCTTTTTATATTAACCAAAACTCATTATTTATTCTATTAAAATTAACCTTTATTTAAATCCACTTTTATTTTATAAAAAAAACTAAAACCATCTTATCATTAGCTTGTTTTTGTGATAATTTTTAAAACCTTTTTTTTTCTAATGAAATTTAACTTTAATAATAATTCTTTTACTTAATAATAATAACTAAAATTATTTATTTAATAGGAAAACTTTCTTTTAATAAAACATGATAACTTAAATTAATTTCTATCAAAATTTATTTTATCTAAAAAACTAATCGGCCTATAATTAAAACTAGTATAACATTTTCATGAAAATCAACTCATATAGTCTAGCTCAACATTTTCTCAACAAAAAAAAAAATCAACCTTACCCTTCAAAGTAAAATCAACTTCCCGCTTACAAATCGATTCACCCAAATCAAACATTCAAACTAAAATCAATTCGTCTAAAATCAATCCAACATTCCAATTAAAATCGATTAACATCGAAATACAACCTAATCGTGCACACTCACGCTCACGACACATTCACTCACCTACACCTTAGCGCTTACATGCGTGTGTATGGTTTTACTTTCCGCAATTTACTTTCAGCAATTTACATTATCGTACTTATATTATCGCATCGCATTCCGTCCAAAGGAAAAACCTACACATGATTCAACAATCGTGTGTAGTGCACATCATTTGCATCATTTTCCCCACGATCCTTGATCCCATTCAAGTTGATCGATTAAGTTAGATCCTACCCCATAGGAAGGACCATTAACTTTACAACTTAGAACAAAACAATCAACAATACAACTTTTTCAAACACATTAGAGAAAGATGCCAAATCATCTTAAGCGAGATAAAATCTCCACCCTACATCAATACAATCAATATCGTAGGAACTTTGCCTTAAGAGAGATAAAGGCGTACCTCGTCGATCCCTATCCGAGTACTTGAGCCATTCTCTTAAGACGATGCAAAGACTATTTTCCTACAACTTGTGGCGGTTAAATCTCTATTAAAATGATAACACATTTCTTCTCCTAAAATCAATCAATCAACTACCCTAAACCCGTAGGAACTTTGACCACAGTCAAAGAACTCCTCAAACCCTTTAGGGAAACTACAGATACTCTGATTCCACTCCCGTAAGGATATGTAGGCATAAGATGCAATATCTTATCGAGTATACTTAGAAATAAACCCCTAGGTCTTTAAACCTTAAGCAGATAAACCTTAGCAATAAACAACATAAAATAAGAGGTTCCTGTAGAGTACTACAGAAACTTAGGATGCTAGTACCTTCCCTAAGTTTAACCAACCCCCGAACCTAGAACTCTCTAAACCTTGCATTTGCATTGCATCGTGGGAATTTCGATATTTATCCCTTCCTTTGGACAAATCAAAGATCGGTTGCGAATTAAAAGATTCAAACTAATTAATAGTTTGGTATCCAAATTTCACCGTGACAGTAGACAGCCGAGCTGACTAAGCATTGGACGGTGTTGAAGGTCGCGTCTTTTGAGAAGGGGGAGGCAGTGCGCCAGTCCCTGTGGTCACCTTCCTCATTGTGGGCGACCGTGTTGGGTTCGTGGCTGCCCCAGTTGGGAAAGGGGGTAACGGCAGATCCTGAGGCATTGTTATTGCGTGGGCTGGCCATGATTGGACTGGAAGTTAAAGGTTAATTTTGCTTTGGTTCTTGAACATCTGTGCTCGGACAAGAGAAAGAACGGGGAAGCTGAGTTTCCCACAGACGGCGCCACTGATCTCACCTGATCAGAAAGGATCAATGGCCTGCCACGCATCGTTGGATTACAGCTTTCACCGGAGTTAGGGAGAAAGATGAGGGTGTACCTGCAAGGCACTCCAATGCTTAAGTGAGTAAAGGATCAGAGTGTGAGAGCAAATACAGAGAAATAGGTGTAGAGAATAAGATACCTGACCCTATAGTGAAAGAGGGTATTTATAGAGAGACCCCAACACATAGCCAATGATTACTTGCATTGGGCCAGACTGCCAGGCCCAATCCAAGTAATTTCCAGGACTTACGTGGTGTAGTGAAGATCAGCATGTGTTCTCCGCCCTAGATCAACTGCCCTGTGATCTTCGGAAGGTGGGCTGACCAACTCTTTCGGAGGTGGGTAGTTGCATGATGACGTGTCCCCGCGTGGGGGAACACGTGGAGAACGTGGGGAAAAACGTGTGAGTCTGTCCGTCAAAGGAGTCGTTTGCCCGACATATGTGGCTCGTGCCCGATATGGGAGGATTGAACCTTATTTGGGCCTCCCCAACGTAGTGTTGGGCCTGCCCGACTGAGGGGCAGGTCCCGGCTCAGTCCAGAACAGGTTCCTCGAATAAGGTTTCCTTAATAAAAACTATATTTTATATCCCGACTTTGATTATGTAAGATCCTTCCCAATTAGCAGCGAGCTTCCCATTTAATACATTATTTCCCCCTACATCAGCCTGTTTGAGGTTTCCAGGCTCGAAGATTCAAGGTCTAACTCATTTATTGTATTTTTCCATGGTTGTTATCCTTACAACAGTACTGATGCGGGTGTTAGAGGCTCTTATCTCTTTTAGGGGGTCCGTTTCTTCCAAGATATCTTGTGTGTTATCTTCTTTTGGTAAAGGGTGTGTCGTTGTCCAACTAATTTTTTTGGATTTCTAGAAAATCAAATTCAAAACGAATATAAAAGTGTTTTTTCGTATTAACCCGCAACTCATAATGGACAAAAATGACATAAAGGCATGGAAATCCAAACATTCTAAAAACGCATTGATCATCTAAACTACATATATAACACATTTCTCAATTAAATAACCTATCTAAGTTACTTATTACACAACCTATCAAATATATTGCTCAAGTTCTACAAATATTTAGAGAAACAAAAAATGTTTAGAGAAATAAATAATTTATCAAATGTGAGTTTGATGTTGATTTGTTTGATTGATTAAATGTTGAGAGTAAAAATTTGAAACTGAGTTAAAAGAGTTTGAGACTTCGAGAAAGAAAAAAAAACAAAAAAGAAGAGTTTGATGCATGTTTTGATTAAAAATGCTTTTGGATCTGCATTTGTGTAAGTTACACAAATATATTTTCATATTAAATAAATTGTGTATGAATGAAATAGATCTAAAAGTGCATTTTCGTATTTTAGAAATAATTTTAATTTTGTGAGAGCAAACTTTAGGGTGGGATGAGCAATTCCAAAATGAAAACTCATGCATCTAACATGAGTCGTCTTAAATAAGTTGGGCCTATCATTGTTGAAAGTCCAACATTAAGTCATCGGTATTGGATGGGGCGGAGAATATCGGTAGAACCGGAAATTCTTCCGTAACAAGACTGAATGGAGAAGAGGATCACCCTGGTTCAAACCGTTGCCACCGCCGGCGTCTTCTCCGCCATTTCCTTCTGGTAATTATTTCTCACGCCTCTTTCTTCAAATTTCAGTTCGTAATAATTTGCAATAAACCTAATCTGAATTGAGTCGTGATTCTGCTTTTAGGTATGGATTCATGTTTGGCAGAGAATCCTCTCGCAAAGAGCTCTCTCACCTAATAGAAGATCTCCGTCGCGGTAATCCAGATCCTCCTCCCCATTCTTGAAGCTCTTTGATCAATGAAGAAATTGCACCGTCCATAGTAGCTTTACTCACTATGTTGCTTCTTATGTTGGTTTCAATTTGTTATTAATGGTTTCGCTTAGAACTATATAGTATAGTAACGCGTTCAGATTTCATAGCGTGATCTTTCCCTAACAATTTTGTAACTAGTGTTGATTTTAGAGGCTGAGATTGCTTTTCAACTTTGTGAACTTGTTGAGAATGTGCACAAACAATTACACTGTTTCCTAATAATTTGACAACTTATATGTCAAAATTTGTGAGGCATTTTTCTGTGTAAACATGTTGGCTTTATTATGATTTGACAAGCTTGTTCAGCTCATGCTTCAAGTACTTCTCTTGTTGTTGTTGCGTTTCATGGATAAGCTTTGAAGAGGAAAATACTGTGTAAATATTATATTTGGAGTGTGGCACTGAATTTTAAAAAGCTGATACTGCTGGAAAGTGAAATTTTAGATTTTTTGTTATGAGTTTTTTAGATTCAATTGAGCAGATGTTTAGAGATTCATAAACTTCTAAATGCTTATTGTAACTGAAGGGAGTTTGTAAAACAAAGGTATAATAATTGGATACAATTAAAGAGGTGTGTTAAATTCTTATGACTGGGAATTGCTCGGTAGCGAGGCTAAAGTTAGTCCCATTAAAAGTAGCTGTATTTTCTTGGAGAGTATTCTGAAATAAGATACCATCAGAAGTTAATTGGGGGAAAACGAGGTGTTTTTCAACATGATCTGAGTTTTTCTGTCTTTGGATGTGGGATGGAATAGTATGTAATGTGTCCCACTTATTCTTTCGAATGTCATTTAAGTGCCGGAGTATGGAATGATATTTTGTATTGGGTGGGTGTATACAGTGCATTTCATAATAAGGGGTTGGAAAATTTCACTCAATTCTCAGGTCAACTGGGTTGAGGAAGAAAGTTGATAGACAAAGCAAAGGTAGTTTGGTTTGCATCGACGAGAAGGTTGTGGAAGGTGAGAAGTGATTACATTTTTAAAAGTAATTTTATAAATGCTTCCGGAAATGTGATAGAGGATGTTCAAGTTCTTTCATCGAGATGTCAAGGAGAAAATAATTTAATTAATGCTTCTGAAAATGTGAAAGAGGAAGTTCAAGTTCTTTCATTGAGATGGCTAAGGAGAAAATAATTTTATTAATGCTTCTGAAAATGTGATAGAGGATGTTCAAGTTTAGACCGTACAACCCAAAAAATGCCTTGGGATTTAATTTAACAATGCAGGCCCCTGGGATTTGTGGAGGCGTTGTATTTGATAAACCAGTGACTATGGGTGGATATTCTAATTGATATGTAAATTTGTTTTGGCTGCCTATTGTGTATAGTGAGTTTTTTCTGCTTAATTGACCATTTTGTTACAGTTTATATCTGGCTAGTTGCAGATCTTTTGGAGGGTGCTTAGGCTATTTTTTAAATTACACGTGGATGTTAAGGCTATAAAACTGATAGAATTGTTTTCCTGTCATCACAACATGAAATGAGGCGGGGCAAAGATTTTGTGTTATGAAAAATGTTGTGGTATGCTCTGGTTATGAAGGGCTGTTGTGCTGTCAGTCATGGAGGGGATGCAGTCTTGCTTGGGCGACTGTTACTTGTTTGGGAAGGTTTTACGTAGCAGAGTGGAGAGTCATTGGAAGTTTATCATGGGTGATTTTGGACAAAGATGAGAATGGGGTAAAATATCAATCTGGACTATTTTTGTGACATCTATTGTAAAAATTTTATGAACATTTGGAGTTATAATATCAGTTTCAAGAATCCGTACCATTAGGTGTGATGGTTTCTATGTATTACATTTTTATGACTGACAAATGACAAATTAATTGGTTCTTCTGTTTTAAACCTTTCTAATGGCATGCTCCAGCATTTGAGTATTTATCATTAATAAAATTATTTTTGCTTTTGCAAATAAAAGGAAAACAATTAATTTTGTTCAAATAAAATGAAGATGCCACTCACTGAACAATTTGATGTGGTTCTTTATACGTATCATACAGAGTGAGAAACAAATGATGTTGGTGACTTTTGTTCAATGATGTTGATGAGCTTTGTTCAATGATAGAAGTGACTAATACAAAATAGAGACCAATACCAGTATATTGATTCTTTACCTTCAGGAGATAAAGTTTTTCTCCTTAATAAATGGAGTTATATATATACACCATGAAATAAAATAATATCTCCATGATCTCAGGCTTTTGGCATGGCCTTGGCCACTGTTCTACGTATACACATCATAACTCTATTTCATTTCCCCTCTTATTCTATTTTGTCTTCCTTTTTCCTATAAAAAACATCTTATGATGGTTCTGAACATACACCAAGACGCCTGACCATACATTCTAATACATGTGTTCACACAACAACAGCCTCAACCTCTTGTTTATGCTCTTTAGTTTTCTTGATGTGCCCAACATAAATATCACTTCCTCTTGAATCAGAATCTGGAAGTCTCTGTCTCCTACCGCCTTCAGACATGTTTCTAACAAAATCCACTAGGTGCCGCCAGTTATCACCTTCGAACAACTTTTTATTCATTCTCAAGTATGTAAATGCAGCCAATCCACTGCCGGAGTCGGACATACTTGTTGACAAAACTTGCGCGTATCCACCTGCATCATATCTCTCCAATGCATTTTCCCCAGCAAGTTCTATTCTAGCCTTTCTTGTCGCCGTCTTTACTTGGTGAACTAACCCTTCTGGTGAGCAGTTAGCATGATCAGGCTGTTCTCTGTCTTTCATTTCCATGCAGGTGAAATTGAAGACAACATCATGGTTTGCAAACATTTTCGCTATCGGGAGATATCCATCATTATGCCGCGTATTATAGTACCCAGCAGTTAGTTCAGCTGCATGCGACCTTGATCTGTAATGCCAATGGATCCCAGCTATTTTCCCAGATAGTTTCACGCCAGAATTTTGATATATTTCTTTGGCTGATACAAGGATCTTCTCGCCGTGTTCCAACAATTTACCTGAGTACCATCCCAGAAAGAATTGTCCATATTCAGAGTTCCATGTTCCATCTTTTCTAAAAAAACTAGTATCCTCAGGAAACTGTTTGTACTGGCCGGAGTCATGGGGACCGCCTTTTCCCCATTCTTTCTTTCCGATAGCCTCGGCTGCGGCTGCCAAGGATGCTTTCATATACTGCATAGCAAACAAGCCATTTTAGCCAAAGGATATTTTGAAAATCTGAGTAATTGTTATTAAATTAATTGATTTGTTTTTCATACCTTGTCATAACATTGAAATTCTCCAATTCCAGGAAACTTCCATGTTCCATTGCTTTCCGGATATGATGGATATCTCAGCTCCCCACATGGACCCATTCCTACTTGTATTTCCTGAAAAGTTATAGGTCTTGTGATATCAGTTTCAAATCTCATGCTAATCATGCTAAGTTTTATTAAAGTTCAATGGTATATCTATCCTATATCAGTGTCTATATTGACTAATTTGCAGTTCTAGTTGAAGTATAACATACCGAGATGACACTGCCTAAGTAATCGCTGAATCTGTTGCGGAAACTCCTCATGTAGTCGGCGTACACTTGGAGGGGAGTTCTTCCTTTTAGCACAGGCACTGAATCACAGCCCAATGATATATACTCGGGATTCCTCCTTCCGGATCGGTCTGTGTAAACTATATCAGGGTTCTTGCTGATCTCTTCTATCACCCATGGAGGTAAAGGAACACTGAAACATTACAATAGAAAGAAAATATTAGTCATAGCACTGAATCACAAATCTTTCAAAAGTAACATAAAACAATCACTGTGATCTCATACCTGCAGGAATCTCCAACATTTCCTCCACACTGATGAAAAGACATTACAACCTGAATCTTCAAACCATGCATTTGGACCATTTGCACAAGCTCAGCATAAGCTTCCCAATTATACTTCAAAGGTCCATCTTTTTCAACCAAACCCCACCAAACATCAACCATAACCCCTTCAACTCCAGCACTCTTCAGAGCCATCAAACTGGCATTCATTGCTCTTGGTTTGTTCAAGTTTCCTCCCATTGTGACCGTGTCAAGTGGAAGCATCACAAACACTGGTACTCTCTTTGATTCATCATGGTTACTATGAACAATTGATGGAGCATGCACCTTCTCATATTTCTCATTGACCTTTACTTCAGATTTGAAGGTGTGTGCTACTTGCAATGAACTCTTGGCTTTAAGATTAAAAGATGGTTTAACTTTAGCAAAGGTGAGTGTTGCAGAGACATCATCGTATGATTTAAGGAATCTGGTTTCTTTCTGAATGATGAAAGAAAGTGAAGAACGAAGTGTTAAAGTCATTGTTTTTGAAAATGGATAGAGGATATGTTGGAAAAGGTGAAATGGTGTGTGTTTATTTATAAGAAATGAAACTGAGATTTGGGATTGAAAAGTAGAAAAGTGCAAGAAATTTGAAGGGGACAACACTGGTGGGCTCTGATTGAAACGTAGAAAAAGTGCAAGAAATCAAAACTAGTCTGTTGTGTGTGACTCTTGCTTACGTGTTTCCACCTATTACATTCTTATCTTAGCAAAGCGTGTGTGGCTTCAAGTTTTTCACCGTACAGAAGATTATTAAATTACGGAAGAACTATTTAAAAATATACTCTAAATTAGATATATTGATTATTTAAAAGAGTCACTTATAATTTTCTTATTCTCTCTTGGGTAGGTTTGCCTCGATATATTTAAGAAACAAGTAATTCATTATAAGAAATTTTAAAGATTAAAATACTAATATGATTCTGTTTTTATTTTGGCGTGTTAGAGTATATCTGAAGAAAGAGATATTTGTAAATTTTGATTAATTCAAAATAGAGAAAGAGGACCAGAGATTTTACTGTGGTACGGTCAATTTTCAAAATTACTTTTAATAAAGTGGATAAACATGATAAAATATATTTTGACATTTAATATATTTCATATCATTTGCTTTTAACATTTGATTTTCTATCTTATACCGAAAATATAAAGGCTCATGCACGACAATATTTAACGTTTGACATGATAATTAGTGAGTGGTTTTGTATTGCCTTCATAAGACAAACCCCACCAAATGAGCAACCTTTATTGTTGCTTTCTATAATCTCCCTTTTTTTTCCTGCAAGCTGGGTTTTCGTGGACCAAAAAAATGTCTCTTAATTTTAATAATTTCTTGGTTCTAGTTCACTTTTTTTTTTGTTGTGGTTGAATGGTTCTTGTTCACTTTAATTTGTTCAAGATAAGAAATGATTTAATTGAAAAAATAATTAATGTGGTTCATATGATTTCATTAGTCTTGGACTATTCTTTTCGGGTATTCTTGTTACCTACTGAAATTTCCATGATATATTTCATGTTTTAAACATTGCATTTACTTGGGGGAAATTAATAGGATTTTAATGTTGACTAATGATATATGGTGTACTATTACGCAGTCACTGAAAATAGGAGTAAAAGTCCTTTTTGCCATCCGGAAAAAACTTGGGGATCTGATGTTTTCATTGAATGTGAGAATATTGAGGGTGGAAAAATCATTCTCCATACAAAATTGCTCGTTGGGGTGAATTTGATATTAATTTTCCAATATAACTTAAGAGTGTATTTATAACAGCTTTGGGTTGACTTAGAATCCACCTAGTATATGTTTGGAAATTGGAGTCATATTTAATCACTAAATCACATTTTGGCATAGGTGTAGTTTCATCTTTTAAAGCAAATATTTAACCACTAAATCAACTTTTGATATCCTACTCGATTAAAGTCTTTTTTTTTTTTTTTTTTTTGGAGAATAGAAGAAATTAACATCTCTAATATTTATTGGGTTAAACTTTATCTTGAAGTCAGTTGAGACTCTTTAGATACTTTCCATTAAGAGGCTCCATATTGTGTTATATTAGTTTGGATTTGAGTGATCATACTCAATTTTTTTTTAATGTTATTCATATCTTCTTTTTGTCTTTTTCGAAAATATTTGTAAAAGTTTGGAAGAACCTGCTTATAATTCAAAAAGAGTTCCTTTGGGGGTGGTGTGAAGGATGACTCAGAGACTTCTTATGTTAAGTGGTCTGATGTTTTGGAAACCTAAGAGTAAAAATTTGGTTTGAGGGTTATGGATCTCAGTTTGGCCAATTTGACCCTTTTGACCAAATAGAAGTGTAGCTTTTTCTCGAATACTTTTGGATATTTGTGTGATTTTGCTGCAGTTAAGTATGTAACATCAATTGTATTATCCTTGATTGCGGGTCGGTCTTTCTGTTTTTGTTCATCGTCCACTTGGTGGAAATAAGTATATTTTCTTGGGTCCAACGAAGGCGACCCATTCTATTGGTTTGTGGATGTTATCACGAATAGTTTGGGTTCGAGTCTTCAAATTTCTTTTTGGGAGGGCCCTTGAGTTAGAATCATTCCCCTTAAGATTAGGCTCCTTAGACATTTTTCACATTCGAGCAACTAGAGGGGGTTGTGGCTGAGATAGGTTGGTGGGAAGTATGGACCTTAGTCTAGGATCAAACATGGATGAAAGATTGTTTTATCCATGAGCAACCTTTGGTCACTAATCTGCTTTCTTCTCTTCATGGTTTATCTCTCACTCAAGATAGAGATATGTAGTGTTGGCGTCATACTAGTGACAAAGTTTTCACTATTGCCTTTGCTTACCAAACCTAATTGAATTTTATCAACCCCTCTACTCTTTCTCTTAAGGTTGGGAATTTTACTCGTCCTCTTATCTGGGTTAGTTGGGCCCTTTCTAAGGTGGTGTTTTTTTACAACTTCTACAATATAGGATCCTTATAGAGATTATCTGTTAAAATTGAGGATGATTGGTGACCTATCTAGATTCTCTTATTCTATGTGTGAGGGATTTGGTTAAGTTGGTTTCCCAATTGTTTGTCACACATGAGATAACTTCAACTATGTGGTATAAAGTCTTTAAGTGGTTGGGGTAGTCTATAATTATCCTTAGGGATCCAATACTTCTTTTTGAGTTTTTTTCTCTCCTTAGGTGGTAGGGAGAGGATAAGGGGTGAGCTTGATATGATTTGACGTCTAATGGTTATATTTCAAAATGATATAACCTTTTGCATTTCTCCAAAAAACGTGAAAATGGAGAATAAAAGAGTATTTTCATGGCTTGGAAATAGTATCTTGTAGATTAGTGGCAAAGTCACGTTCTTTCTATGATTGGACTTAAAATCCAATCATATGTCTTAACTGTCTGTACCATTCAAATGACTAATTGACAGAGGCCCAATCCATCTTAAATCCACTCTACTTGATCTAAAGTATAGAAAAAGTTCACATTCTAAGAGCAAGATACAATCTATGATCTTCATTTTTCCCTATACTCATCTTGAACCTTGAACTGGCTTGGGCATTGGAGTGTTAACCATGGAGGTCCACTCCACGCCACCGTAAAGGAGATCAAAGCCACTATTCAAGATCACCAGTTATCTAACTACCTCCTTTTCTGGTTCTCGAACAAAACAATGGCTACGTATGTGGGAATTGATTTTTGATTCCTATGATTTCCATGAAAATCACATTCTCTTCACAACAATGTCAAACAAACTCAAAGTTCTGGATTTTAACTGTTCATATCCAAATCTGTAATTTACTAGTTTGTACCCTTTTTAGGTTACCAAATCAAGAACAAATCAACTTTTGATTCCTAACTTCTCGTCAAATACGAAATCGCTTTTCAGTTTCATTGTTCATGACCTTCTCAGATCTTAGAATCGAGAAGCGCTAAGAAGAAAATGCTGAGATCCATCATAACGGATTCGACGAATCATCTTTTTTTGTTGGGTTTCTTCTAAATCCAGATCCATGGTTCTCTTAGAAACTTAATAGAGTAGCAAAAGGAAGAGTCTCAATCTAGATCTAAGGTTACGTTAGGGTCTAAATGTGATTTCCATGAAGTTTATGACATAGATTTATAATTCACCTTTCTCACATTTCCCTTTTGTCAGTACGCCTACCGAGGTTGTATCTATAAGATTCAACAAGTTCATAGTTAATGACTCTCAGATACTACAAGTTAATAGCTAACGTTGGGCGCTAATCCAATACTGAGGTGCATCATGGGTACCACGAGATTTCCACTTGATGCACATGGGTATCCTCAGAACGGATCAAAAGAGCAGAGGTTCGCCAAGCACACTTGAAGAAAGGTACCCCTGACTCTAGTTGTAAGGAGACTGGTTGGTAGTAGCTTCCTACCACTATTTTGCATCCTTGTTCCAAAGGAAAGACTTAACATGCCTGTTAAGGAACATCTCCAATGACCGACCATCATTTCGGCTCCAAAAGAAGTTGATCAATCGACTAGATCTGCACATGAGTACCCCAAATCTAATTGAGGTAGATATCCACTCCAAAATAGGAAGAAAGCTAGGGAATCTTGACCTCAATGATCAAAGAGTGCCTCGCCAAAACATTGGACAAAGAAATTCGATTTCATAGTTTCAATGACTGATCTCAAGCTATATCCTTAGAGAGACCGACCATCTAAACATATATCAGCAGTCAAATGCATGGAGGGACACCTCGACACCCCAACAAATCAAAGAATACGCTTTAATGCATGAAGTGCACTCGACCAAAAACTCAAGGAAAGGACAACGACCAAAGACCTTGAATACTGTCCATCCATGCCAGAGTTGTCATTGAAGGTTATTTACCTCACTGGTTCATTAATTATTTGTAATAAATTCATTCATTATTAATATGAAAATATGTATATATTTCTATATCTCTTTCTTCTTCTGTTGTATGCTTCTTTGTCTCTCTTTCTACTAGAACGCTTGAGACAAGGAAACAAACACAAAATGCCTGAGTGTGTATCTGATAAAGACTTAACCCATCTCTGCATTTCTGATACGGATCAAGCATACTGCATGTCTGATTGCGTATCTGGTACAAACTGAACGAATTTATGCGGCTCTGATACGACTTAAACACATTGTCTGCATGAATGTGTATCTGATATAGACTTATTACATTTATGCGGTTCTGATATGTCTTAAGCACATTCAATTCCCTATTGCATAACCGATACAGGCTTAACTTTTCTACGTGATTATGATACGGCTCAAACGCATAGTCTGCATGAATGGGTATCTGACACAGACTTACCACATTTATGCAATTTTGATATGGCTTAAGTGCATTTCCTGCATGAATGTGTGTCTAATACGGACTTAACACATTTATGAAATTATCATACGACTCAAACATATTCCATGCCTGGTTGCGTATCAATTACATACTTAATGCATTTTTGTGATTATGATACGACTCAAACGCACACCTCGCACAAC